AGGAAGGAAGGAAGGAAGGAAGGAAGGAAGGAAGGAAGGAAGGAAGGAAGGAAGGAAGGAAGGACGGAAGGAAACCATGGGTACTGGGTTCCAAATTCAGATCCTCAGGTTGCCTAACAAGCATTTTACCCACTGAACCAACTTCCCAACCCTAGATCTGATTATTTCAATCCACAGATTTTTGCTTTTCCCTACTCTAAAAGATCCCACGAGATACAAAAACTATATTAACTGTTAGGAAGATGTGTCAAGTGAAAGCTGTGATTTTAGTTATTGAAGTATGAGTTGATCTGTGAGAAAAGGGAGTAGCTGTTTCTTTATCTTCTCTCCCTTAGGCCATCCACTGCAGAGCCGTCCTCCCGTGCCAAGATACTCCTTCTGTGAAATTAACCTACACTGCAGAGGTAAGCACCACAGACTCTTAACTGTAAATGTGGTATGAATGATAAAGGAGTCGATTCCAGTGTCAAAACTATTGTACTTAAAAGGAGTCTACTGAGTCTGTGGACCTCATTTTGAGTCTCTAATAAAATGGTCGTGTTAAACAAGTACAAGTATGAAAAGAGGAAATTACATTACTCTCATTTTAAAAAAGAAATTAAAATTCTAGGTCTAAAGAGAAGATTTAAGACCGTCTTTCCTAAAAATGCTTTCTGCAGCCATGTTGCCTAGTATAGAGCCCCAGGCAACATCTCCTGACTTGTCTGTGCGCATGCGTGTGTATGCATATATGTGTGTGTGTTTATGTGTGCGCGCACGTGTGTGTGTGCAGCCCCTCTCTGTCGCTGGCACTGCTTTGGTACCGCCAGTCCTTTGGTGTGGGGGTTGGATTATAATTAGTGAACACCGTTCCCGAGGGTGGATCTCCTTAGACCAAGCAAATAAAATGAAGACCGGCGTTACTCATGGGACCTACTTCGTACCTGAGTCTTTCCACCACCACACACACTTTCTTAACTCTATAGGATAATACGCTTGGTGGTATGGGACCTCCCAAGTTCTGGACTCTTCTCTACCACTGTAAGGGGAGGCCGCTTGTTTGTTCCCCCCTGCCCAGACCAGGAAATAATCACGCAGAAAATGTATTATTTGGAATACTGTTTGGCCAATAGCTTAAATGTATTTCTGGCTTACTTTTATATCTTAAACTAACCCATCTCCATTAATCTGTGCATCACCACAAGGTTGTGACCTACCGGTAAAGTTTCTGCCGGCTCCAGCTCAGAGGTCTTTCCCGGAGGCGGCTACATGGCTTCTCACTGACCGTGCCTTCTTTCTCCCAGCATTCAGTTTAGTTTTCCCGCCTAGCTGTATTCTGCTAAGCCACTGGCCAAAACAGATTTATTGATTGTCCAATAAAAGCAACACATAGACAGAAGGACTTCCCACACTGTACCGCCAAACTGTGTGACCTTGAGCAAGTCTGAATGAAGGTCACAAACTGCCGGTCAGTGTCTGAGTGCCACCGTTGTCCCATGAACATGTCATTACCTGAATGATGAGAGGATCTGAAACTGGCCTCTGCTGATTGACTCCGGCTTGAGCTCCATCCTGTGCCTGGCTCTGTTATAGCTGGGACCTGATTCGTGTAAGAACAGGCAGGTCACACTCGCACTAGAGTGCACGCTTGCTAGCTCACTCCCACCTGAGGCGTTCCGCATTCCAGGGCTAGGGGAATTCCAGTGACCCTCTGTTTTGTGACTCCCAGAGAAAATGATTTCATGGCTTTCAGCCAAAGTTGTAGTTACCCTCCCCCCCCCCCAGAAAATACTGTTTGTATCTCCAAATTCTAAATGTAAAATAGCCAAAGTCATCTCTTCTGCCCTGCTGCGCGAGTCTATTGTCTTTTGAGGTAGTTTGGGGACGCGAAGGGAACAGTTATTGGCCGCCATTTTCACTCACAATGCTGCTGGTCTCTTCGTTTTTATTATTGATTTCTTGCAGTAGACCTGTGACATTTTGCCCATATTTGGTGGAGAGCTGAGAATCAGGGAGGGTACCTACCCCAGTCCCTGTGGTTAGTAGCTAACAGGACTGATGTTCTAATGTAGCTTCTCCTCAGACCCTGCTCTTAATATTCTTGGTAAGTGGAAAGACTCCTCACATTTTATTGCTAATACGTTGCCGGTCCTTTTTTATAAAACTCGCGTGTGTGCTTCTTAAGCCCAGAGTCTGTGTGTTGTGGAGATAGTCAAGAAGTGGTAGAAAAGTCATTTTACATTTTCAGGTTAGGAGGCATAGACACACCGCCCCCAAACTGTATAATTGCAGATGGCTTTTTCCTTTGGACTAGGTATCGGTCCCCAAAGAGCTGGTGGCTCTCATGAGCGCAATCCGCGATGGAGAAGAACCTGACCCCGACGACCCCAGCAGGAAGATATACAGATTCAACCAGAGGGTACGGTCAGATCCGTGTCTACACTCTGCCTCCGTTGGGAGTGACCTTCCAAGAAGCTGCACCTGTCCGGGAACTCTGGGAACATGGGAGACTACCCAGCAGCCCCTCTTCCCTTTGGTTGCACCTAGAGAAAGGTTGCAGGGTCGGCATGGCCGGGAGTGCCTAGCTGCACTTTCTGGATCCAGCCCAAGGAGGCTTCCTGTTCTTTTCAGTCCTTATACATTCACTGCCTCCTCACCTCAGAGTGTGATGTCACTGGCTAGAGTCTGTCAGTGGGCGGTGGGGTAGGGCGCGGGGGTGGGGGGGGTGGGGGGTGGGGGGGGAGTGGGGGGGAGTAACTTGAAAAGAGCAGTTTCTAAAACAGCTGAGGATGACCTGAGCCCATGTCGTTGACCTTGAATGGGCAGAGCGGACTCTCTGTATACCTGTGAGACATGTTTTCTTACTTGTCTTCACAGTGGACATAGTTGCTTCCTTTCAGGACCTGTGTTATCATAGCTTTGGCTTCTACTTATTGCTGGTTTAAAACATAAAGGAATTTAGGCAGGCGGTGGTTTCGCACGCCTTTAATCCCAGCACTCGGGAGGCAGAGGCAGGCGGATCTCTGTGAGTCCGAGGCCAGCCTCGTCTTCAAGAGCGAGTTCCAGGACCGGCTCCAAAGCTACAGGGAAACCCTGTTTTGAAAAAACAAAAAATAAAAAGCAAAACAAACCAGAAAAGGGAGATATTTAGGGGGAAAATATTTTAAAAGTTGAAGGGAAAAAAATCCTAAACTATGAGGGAAAAGTATCTGGTACTTAGCAGCTACTGTTTGAGAAATGCTTAATGTGCCATTTAAATTTGTGCAGCATTGGTGTTTGCATGCTAAAAGCACTCCTTTTTATAGACCAAAGGGGAGATGGGTGTTTTGAAGTGTTTTTGTATCATATGTTTGAATGATTTGCCCCTTACAATTAGAACCATTTGAGAAGGCCCAAAGGAGAGTAGGTTCATAATGATGCTCGGAGATTGAAAGACTTGCGTGACTTTAAATCCGGCCTGTCTGGCCTACACCATTTCTACTTACTGATGCAGCATGCCCTGTGTGTGTTTTGTCTCCTCCAGGTTCCCATACCGTGCTACCTGATCGCGTTAGTTGTTGGAGCTTTGGAAAGCAGGTGAACTTGTGCACCAGTTTGGAGGTTCATGAGAAGATGAAACCATCCACAAGTTGAACTCCCGCCGGGGTTGATGGGTAGAACATGGTGTATTCTACCGAAGGTGTCAGACTGACAGCTTTCGAGAAGTTCAGATAGAGTTTTAAATTGTAGACAAGTTCGTTTTGATTACGGATTTGGTTACAGATTTTGATGGCAAAATCCATTGGACCCTTGCACCTTAAATTTTCCAAACGTAAAATGGGCACACTGTCACCTGTAGGCTGAGAGCAGGACTCGAATGTCACCTTGAACCAGTCATGTCTCGTAGTCTCCATTTCCTTCTTATGGAAATTTGAATCTGCCTCTGCAGCCCCTTAGGTAGAAAGGTCCACGAAACAGGGAAGGTCCATAAAGCCCTTGGAATCCTAAAATTAGTATAGGAGTAAAGTATTTTGATGAACGTTAGCAATAGCTAAAGTACACTTTTGGTTGGTTGTTTTGTTTTGGAGAAAGTCTCAATATATAGATAGCTCTGGCTGCCCTAGAGCCCACTATGTAGACCAGGCTGGCCTCGAACTCACTGAGATCCCCTGCCTCTGCCTTCCAAGTGCTGTCACTGAAGGGGTGCACTACCACACACATTATCTTATTTCAGATTTTCATCCATATGTGTATATGTGTGTGGCAGGTGCACTTACGTGTGTGTGCATGTGCGTGTGTAGATCAGTGGATGGCTTCAAGTGCCACACTCAGACTCTATCCACCTCCTCTGAGACAGCGTCTTCTTACTGGCCTGGAGCTCTACAGTTAGACTGAACTAGCTGGCTAGCAAGTGTCATGTGACCCTCTGCCTCCACCCCTCTGGTAGTGAGATTACAAGCCCACCATACTTAGCACGTTTTTACACGGTGCTGGGATCGGAACTCAGGTCCTGTTCTTGCTGGGCAAGTACTTTGGTGACTGAGCCCTCCTCCCAACTCTGTTCTTGACAGCTGAAAATCAGAATGTTTATAATAACCGTAGTCTTCAGTTGCTAAGAATGTGGGCGCGATCGAGAAGTCAGCAGCCCAGAACCAGGCTTGAGAGCTCGCCTTTGGATAGCCAGCCGCCTCTGGATTTCTTGTCCTTCTGGGAAAGGGAGGAATACACTTCAAAGGTGGAAAGTTAAAGTTCCAGGCCTGTAGGAAGCACTCACTAATGATAAGATGTTACAGCAGCTGTCGGGGAAAGCTTAGTAAGCGCTTGTTCTAATGCGTTTATCTTGTTGACTCCTTGGCTGGGGTACCGATGACTGTTTGTTCCTATTTTACCAAGGAGAAACTGACACTCAGAGCTTTTGGGAACTTGCTTGGTTTTAGAGTTAGACCTGTCCAAGCCAGGATCTATGCCTTGTTCCTTTTAAACCCAGGTAGCCGTGTGTTGTCTGTAACCAGTTGCATGAAGCTGTTGAGCATTTGAAACACAACTCATCCAAACTCCAGTGCTTTATAAGTAAAAGTACAGGCTGGATTTCAGAAGACTGTATGAAAATGTAAAATGTTTCATTAATAGTTTTTATACTGACTATCTGTTTAAATAATATGTAGGATCTGCGGGGTCAAGTAAGTATTGAAACTAATTTGGCTATCAAAAAATTCCAACTTTCATCATAATGTGTGTTTTTGTGACCCTTCCTAAATTTTTGTTGGGTAGTACTCACAACTCGCTCTACAGACCATAACCTAACAGTTCCCAGAAATGCAGATCTGGGTAAAGGCTCTTTTAGGCAAGCAGTAGGCAGTCTTGTGTTCAGTCCCTGGAGTAAGGGCAAGCAGAGAAATGTAAGTCTACAAAGTTGCCCTCTGACCTCCATGTGTGCCTTGTGACCTGCGTGCCCCCCCCACATAATAATATAATTTTAAAAGTTTAAAAAAATGCAAATGATTGAAAGAAGGTTCTCTCAAGTCTTCTTAACCAAAACTTAGAATTTCGTATTTTAACGAGTTCTTCAGATATTCGGTCTGCACCGCAAGTATCTGGAGAGCAGAGTTTAGAAGGAATGTTCTAGAGACTGCAGTCTCGGTGGCAGAGTACCGTCATAAAGTCTTCTTTGGAGGCTTGGGGTCACAAAACTTTAAGCTGAAACCGAGGACCCGTAGCTATAGTTTATGATTTCTATTTTGTTTTTGTCACTATGGTGAAAGTCACACAGATGATGCAGAGTTGGCCATTTTTAAGTAGGGTTCAGTGGTGTGAAGTGTGGCTACCTTGTTGCGAAACTGATCTGTTGACCTGCGTCTTGCAGAACTGAAACCCCGTCCCCCGTAAGCATCTCCACCCTGCCCCAGTCCAGTTGGGAACCACTGTTTTCCCTGCGGTGCGACGTTGTTAGTTACCGCATATAAATAGAGTTGTGCAGCGGGCGCGTTTTGCTGACCAGTTTATTTCACTGAACATAATGTCCATGAGGGTCATCTGTATTACTTCTTGTTTTTCCTCCTGATTTCTTAACATGGGTGTCTAGCATAACCAAGTATGTAATCTATCCCTATTCTAGGATTATTATTGTTATTGTTGTTACTGTTGGTGTTGTTAGTGTTGTTCAATCTCTAACTGGGTTTCTGCATTATGAGATTGAGAGAGTAGCCCATATCCCCAGAGGTCTTAGCACACAGCCAGGAAGCTGACCTCGGGGTCATGTCCCATGCCTTGGTTCTCCTTTAACCTGGACCATGTCTCATTTGGAGAGAGTTACAGACAAAGCTTTTGCTGTATTATTAACAGCGGGTTTGTTATCTCCAACTGTTTGGCCTTGAGATATCCCTCCAGGGAGCACAGGGACAGTCCAGTCTTACTTTGTTATTACAAAGTGTCTATGTCTTTCTTAGGACCAGGTGAATAATTGACTTGAATTTTTTTTTTTCTTTTTGATGAAGCTTTTCCATTTTGCAGGCAAATTGGTCCAAGAACTCTGGTGTGGTCCGAGAAGGAACAGGTGGAAAAATCTGCTTATGAATTTTCTGAGGTTGGTCACACATAGCCTTCCTAATAATTGTGATAAGTGGGAGACCTAAGGTTTGAGAGTAATGTTTTGGTAACAGCGCACACTCATGCCCTTAGCGTTGGCGGTCGTGACTTTCTGTCCATCATTTCAGTCCAGATTCTCAGCCTGCAAACTTCACAGAGAGCTACTTTACTTTCAAGAAGTTACCACTGTGACCATTAAGAGGAGATATGTATGCATTCATTTTTCAGACCGAGTCTATGCTTAAAATTGCGGAAGATCTGGGAGGGCCCTACGTGTGGGGGCAGTATGATCTCTTGGTTCTGCCCCCGTCCTTCCCTTACGGCGGCATGGAGAACCCATGTCTGACGTTCGTCACTCCGACTCTTCTGGTGAGAAATATTTCATTTGAAATGGAGATCTCAAATGTAAACCTAGATGAGGGGCTGGGCCGTTGCTCAGTGAACAAAGGGCTTGCTGTGCAGTTTAGAGGACTTTGACCTCTCAGAAGCCATGTTAAAAGAGCTGGGCATGGTTGTACACACTTGTAACCTTCGATTAAGGAGATAGAGACCGACAGATCCATGAGGCGCAATCGCCAGTCACCCTAGCCTTCTTGATGAGCCCTGGGCCAATGAGAGACACTGTCTCAAAATTCAAAGTAGGCAATACTTGAGAAATAGCAGCTAAGCTTGTCCTCTGAGCAAGCTGCCTACCAAGCCTCTCTGCAACAGAGGGCTCTGGGTTTGATTGAGAGACCCTGCCTCAAGAAAAAAAAAAGTTGGAAGAGCCTTGGGCTTCCACATATGCATACATGTGTGTATATACGCATGCACTCATAGACATGCACATACACACATACTAGGAAAACAACAAGAAGGGAAAGAACTTGGTAGATATACAAGATGGGCATGGGGAAATGTTCTCTGGAATTAGAGAGAAGCCTATTATTAGCCCTACTGGTATTGAGAAGTTTTCTGTGCTTAGGGAAAGAAAGAAGAAATGTTACTTTCGCTTTCTCTAAGTTTTGTTTGTTTTTGTTTGAGGAGGGGATTGGTTTAGAGACAGGGTTTCTCTGTGTGGCCCTGGCTGTCCTGGAACTTGCTCTGTAGACCAGGCTGGCCTAGAACTCAGAGATCCACCTGCCTCTGCCTCCTGAGTGCTGGAATTAAAGGCGTGTGCCACCAGGCCTTGCTCCTTCTGCTTTCTCAGTCCTTGTCTCTTGACCCTCTTCCCTCAGTAAACAAACAGTGGCCCATCAGCCTAGCGCCTGAGTTGTAAGATCAGTGTCATTCAGCTGCGGCCCGTCATCTGGTGATGAAAATACTAAGGTGTTCTTTTCTTTCTTATAGGCAGGTGACAAGTCACTCTCCAACGTAAGTGAAAATTTCTTGTTACAATCTTAGCTCTCAAGCAGGTTTTAAAATGCCTACTGTATCGTTAGGGAACTATTATTGTAAGATAAAACTGGGATTGTCCTCTTCTTTAGCAATTAGATTTAATAGATTAAAGAAAAGGTTAGCCAGATATAAATGATACCTGATCATAAAAACAAATCTTTATTATTTCCTGTGTATGAAATATTTTAATCGACTTACATGTTCATTTAATTTAATATTTTCCAGGGTTTTTTTCTTTTTTTCCCTTGGTGGTAGTTGTTTAAAGTATTCTATACATTTTTGGTCCTTGATTAAATTGCATTTTTCCCCTTGAAATAAGTAGTTCTCTGAATATGTTTTTAAAAACATCAAGTCATGTGAATTTAAGAGGAAGTATTTAAATGGGGGCTTGTTTTAGGATGAGGTAACTGGTCTGACTGCTAATCGCTTAACTCCGCCTCCTCAGGTTATTGCGCACGAAATATCTCATAGCTGGACCGGAAACCTCGTGACTAACAAAACTTGGGATCACTTTTGGTATGTTTTTTTTTTCCTTTTTTTTTTTTTTTTTTTTTTTTTGGTGTGGGGGGGGGGTGTTTTTTGTTTTTTTTTTTTGTTCTCTTGCCATTCCCCCCCCCCCTCCCTCACACACCGTTTCCTGTGCATATGGTTTCTCTTCCTTATGGTCACGGTGATAGACAGAACTTTTAAAAATTCGGCAGCACTTGTCACGGTGGGAGATACAGTCTGGGTGTGCAGTTTATTCTTGCTACGTACTTTCCGGTGTTGCCTCTTTTTAACACAGGAGCTGGTTAGAAACAGAATTACCTCTCAATTTTCTGTGCTGCCAGCTGCTGGACTGGGCTTGCTAATGTCTCGGGTGACTGCTGGGCTTGCTGGTGTCTTGGGTGACTGATTGCTGGGGCTCCTCTAGGCAGTAGGGGCTGAGATGTAGGGGCCATACTGTCTGCTCTCTTCCCTGGGAAGACCATTAAGAGAATACCTGCTTAATTAAAATGCCGAGTCCTCTCCGCTGGGACAGTGCCCATGTTTTGTTCCCTTTCAGGTTAAACGAAGGACATACTGTCTATTTAGAGCGCCACATTTGTGGGCGATTGTTTGGGGAGAAGTTCAGACATTTCCATGCTTTTGGAGGCTGGGGAGAGCTGCAGAACACGGTAAGACAGGCTTCTCGACGCGTTCGCCCAACCTCACAGCAAGCTGGGTTTTCCTATGAGAACACTCGTCTCATTCATTGGGTTGCAGATAAAAACTTTTGGGGAGTCCCATCCCTTCACCAAGCTCGTGGTTGATCTGAAGGATGTCGACCCCGATGTAGCCTATTCCTCCATTCCCTATGAGAAGGGCTTCGCCTTACTCTTCTACCTGGAGCAGCTTCTTGGTGGACCAGGTAAGTAGCTGACATTGCCTGCTTGGTGTGTTTCTGTTGGTTTGTTTTGTTTCGTTTTTCTTTTGGAGGGCGATGTGAAGAATAGAGATGAACTTTAAACTGTTTCTTTTCATTTTACACTTCCAGTTCATTCTGCTGGAGACATCCGTGTTGCTTTCTGTTGTTGCTAATATCCATAAAACTCTACACAACCCCATGATCTGTATAATGTGGCTTGACCTTTTTAAAATCCCATTATACTAAAATTAGGGTAATAGCATACACTCATTGACAAACTTCCTATAATCCAGAAGCTTGTGAGTAATACATGAGACCTCTCGCACCCCTCTGTGTGTGGCTCCAGATTTTACTCTTGACTGTAGATGGTCAATCACACATATATAAAGATTTTAGTGACAAAATAAAGCATCCTGGAGTCGCTCTTTCTTACCTGTGGGTCCACTTCCCACCATTGCAGTTACCGGCGGTCACTGCAATTCTCGTTTTTCTTCTTCGAGATTCCATGGACATGAACTCACCTTACAGTTAGCTTCATCCTTACTGTGGGTCTTAAGGCCTCAGCATACGATCTTCCGCCTCCCTGTTAACTCAGGACTCTCCGCTTTTGCCTTGTGGCTCCACTTTAGAATATCTAAATCGCTAGCATCTTTTACCTTGCACCTGTGGCCTCCGGGAAACAAAGCAAGTATTCCTTGAACACAACGTGTTGTGTGTTGTGTGTTCAAGGGCACCTGAGAACCCGAGGGGCCCAGAGTGTTTAGAGGGAGGTCCTATCCATGTGACTTTTATACGGTGTGTTATAATGATTCTGCTTCGTTCCTAGTTATTATTCTTAACCTCTTCCCACGGCGCATGTATTGCTTAAATTTTACCGTAGGTCTGTCCGTCTGGAAAATAGTACTACAGTAGGGATTGGGTCCTATGTGTGACTTTCTGTATCTGCTGGAGTCTTGGAACATAAGCCCCTAGGGCAAGAGTTTGGCTGTCTTATATATTTGCTCTGTAGCTGTCTTTTCCAATTTTTAAGTTCAGTACACATGAGTCCATCTCATATTTTTAATGCTTTCACGATATTTTCTTCCATAGATGTGCTGGCTTCACGTGGCCTCATACTGATGGTCTGGTTGCCTTTGAAGGCACCTCCCCTTCCACTCTGCCTGTCGGCTCTTACTTTCCTCCTTTCTCGTCATATGAGGGTGATTGCTTTAGAACGTGGATGATTCTTGCCCTGTGTCTTCCTTGCGTCGTCCTGGCCTGCACTGACTCACATAGACTCGGAAGGCCCAGCTTGAGACCCACCTCCTTTCTTGAACATTCCTTCACTGTCAGAAGCTCTCCGTGGTTCTCGGAGTGTTCTCTGTTGTCTCTGGTTACTGGAACAATGTCACCCACTAAAATGGGCAGAGACTTGCCTTTCTGTGGATTGATTTCTTTTTCTTCATTTCTTTCAATTTTTTTCTCTTTTCCTCTTAGAGGTGTTTCTAGGATTCTTAAAGGCTTATGTTGAGAAATTTTCCTACAAGAGTGTAACCACTGACGACTGGAAGGACTTCCTGTATTCCCACTTTAAAGATAAGGTTGGTTTTAAGTTCTTGTTTTCAGTGCCCAGTATAGCTTTATAAACTATTTGCTAGGCTACTTAGATTACTTAATTTATAGTATTGGTTCAGAATTTGCCATAGGATTTTGCTTATCTATGCTAATTCTCTTTTAGAACACTAGTAATGACTAAATTTATATGTTAATTAGCTAGATTCAATCATTTTTGCATTATTTACATATGTCAAAATGTTTATATTCCAGAAGTAGACGTGGTGATGGTCTGCTACTTAATTTTAAGAAGAAATGAGATTTAGAAGTTATTGTGATGTGGCAGCACAGAGTAAATTGTGTGTTTGATCCCTTCCGAGTCTGTTTTCAGTTTCTCATTTGTTTGTTTTGACCTGAGGAAAAGTCGGCCTCTCGGGAACTGGGGGCTCTTCCTGTTCACAGGTGGATCTTCTCAATCAAGTGGATTGGAATGCCTGGCTCTATTCTCCTGGCCTGCCTCCTGTCAAACCGAAGTAAGTACCACCTGCTGACCTGTTTCCTTGACGCTGCTCCTCCAGGGGTATGGAGCTTTTTGATATTGCCACGTGGCACGCTCGGCTACGGATGTATTAGGCTGCCGGCACAGCCATCTCGGGACATCATGTGGCCTGAGTGCTGCAGGCTGGAGACCCCTAACCCTAGCGCTCTCAGAGTGTCTGGAAGGACCATATGCTCTTCTTAAACCATTAGCAGTCAGCAAAGAGATCCAGGGGGCTTAGGTTTCTAGACCCTTCCCTTGAAACCAAAAGCCATTTCCATGGTTTACAAACAGATCTGTTGAGATGATTGAGAGTGTTCCTGGGTGCCCAGTTTCCACATGAGGGTGGTGAGGGCCTTAGGAAAGAGTAAGCCAAGTCCTTCCTTTATTAGGGACTACGTAGCTCCTGACATGCTCTCCTGCTTCAGTCAGGCTGGAAGGCTAGGGCCTCTCAGACCCTCCACACTCCCTCAGGCTTCGTGCCCAGACACACACGCTTCCTTCCACACGGATAATTCCAACGTCAGCTTAGGAACTGCTTCCTCTTGGAGGTGTCTCTTAACCTCTCTGTGCAGGTCAGAGCTTGCATTTGAGAGTTGCCAGCCGCCGTGTTCTGCACCTTTGCGTTTGCGTGTGTGGCTGAACGCCATACCTTTCGCTTCACGATGCACGCTGTGAGAGTAAGGCTTAAATCTGGTTTGCACATTGCTTCTCCTAGGGCTTTTTTGTGAGTCAGGATTATTTCTTTTCCCCGAGCTAATCCTTAACTTAGTCATCCAACCATGCTGAGAAGGAAGTTTTGGAACACTAAGAAAGACACCAGCCAAACCTTTCCCACTGTCTCAAGAAATCAGTGCTGGGGGGTTGGAGAGATGGCTCAGAGGTTAAGAGCACTGGTTGCTCTTCCAGAGATCCTGAGTTCAACCCCCAGCAACCGCATGGTGGCTCACAGCCATCTGTAATGAGATCTGGTGCTTGTGTACATAGTAAATGAGTTGATCTTAAATAAAGAAATCAGTCTTCTGAGGAGAAGGTGTCTTACAGCCTGGGGAATGGCAGGCCTCTGCTCTCGCTTACCTCCACCTACAGCCTGACTGCCATCTGACAATATAGTGGCTGCTTGGCCCTGGTGTTACTCAGCTGCCTTTGCTGAACAATATTCCTGACACGATTCAAGAAGACCTAGTTTGAGCATATTTCCGTCTGGGGTCGTGGTTCTGTCTGTGATGAAGGAGAACACGAGAAGGTGGTGTGGGGGCAGACAGAGACCTGTTTCCACGTTAGCCTCCCGTCCTAACAGCGTGATCCTCATAGTTCAGTCACTTGTGAGGAGCACCCCAGCTAAGGACCGAGCCTTCAGCACACAAGGCTTCGGAGAACATTTCAGATTCAAACCTAGAGCGCTCAGGATGGACTTCCTACCAGAGGCCAAGGGCAGCCAATTACAGCCATTATGCACTGATGAAGACAAAGAATTGCGAACGGACCCGAAAGGATTGTGAGCGGGCTCCCTGTTCGTTCCCCAGAAAAGAATGGAAGAATAATAGAAAACTAGAAAAACCCAATAGCAGTGAGCGTATCTCTTGTCACTCATAAACATTTCTCAGCAAAGAGGCTTAATGTTTAGATAAAGGGGGATGTTTTGCAAGACCGACATTCAGGTTGAGAGTGCACACGTACCGACATACGTGTTTTGCTTGTTTTGCTTGATGGTTAATTCCACCTTCCATAAAGAAAAGAATGAGGCTCTCACATGGTAACCTTGGACTCTCAGGTCTGGCCTCTGGAACAGGCCAGTGACCTGGCCTACTTGTAAATTTGCTAGGTGGTGAAAAGTTTGGAATAACACAAAGCAGAAACCCTGAGCATGGGGACCTGGTGTTCTTCATGTCGCCGTGAGTGCCAGGAGCTGTCGCCGCCAGGCAGAGAGTACTAGGTGTGCTCTTCCCATCCCGAGCCCCTCTGGGGTGTGTGAGATGCTTTGGTGTTCTCTGCAGAGGACAGCCAGAGCTTTCTTTGTGTGCTATCCAGGTGGTACGCACTGGGATTTGGGGAAATTCTAGATGACTCCAGTGGACTTCCTCCTTCTAACACTGAGGAGCTCTTTAGCTTCAAAGAGTTGTTTTTTTTTTTTTTTTTTTCGAGACAGGGTTTCTCTGTAGTTTTTGGTGCCTGTCCTGGAACTAGCTCTTGTAGACCAGGCTGGCCTCGAACTCACAGGGATTCGCCTGCCTCTGCCTCCCGAGTGCTGGGATTAAAGGCGTGCGCCACCACCGCCCGGCTTCAAAGAGATTTTAAATTTTAAGCATTTTATATAGCATAAAACTGTGTTTATGCAAAAGGATGCATTTGTTTATAAAGTGTAACCTTTATTCTCTTTTCGTCTTTGCAGTTATGATATGACTCTGACAAATGCTTGCATTGCCTTAAGTCAAAGATGGGTCACTGTAAGTAATGATGCGGGATTTTCGGGCCTTTTCTGAATTGTACAAAGATGTCTTTGTATGTGTGTGTGGGTGCTTTAAACTGTGCGTAGCTGTGTTATAAGTTGTTTCCCTGGGTAGGTATTGCCTTTACCCCATCACTCATGAGGTGTGCTTCAAATGCCTATGGGTAAATCTAAATGATCTTGGGTGAGTGTTCAAAGCCAGCTATGGAATAGGAGGAACTGAGGGGTTCTGCTGGTTGCTAGCTATGGTTCATTTCTGCAAAACTTCCTAAAGAGGAGTTTCCTCATATATGTAATAGAATATACTCCTAGGGAAACCAGATGGGGCACATGCCCTGGTTTATGTATTAAGGCATATGCCTAGGGAGACCAGACGGGGCATATGCCCTGGTATATGTACTAAAGCATATGCCTAGGGAGACCAGACTGAGCGTGTACCCTAGATGATTCTGGAATGGAAAATAAGAGAAAACTTAACAATCACTTTCTCTTGACGATTGCAACAAGTGTTGGCGTTGCTGTCTGAAATTTATCTTTAAAGCTCACTTGGCTGGCATTCCTTGGCCATCTTCCACATTTAGAATTCTGAGTTTCACACTGTGATAAAAACAGAGATGGAGTTGCCCTTGGGTTATCTGTAGTTTAATGAAAAAAATTAGATTTCTGCACAAATCACTTTTAGTTTGAGCAGCACATGAAAGAGGCAGGTGGAGCCACGGACTCAACAGAGGGAACCCCCACCCTGTGGGGAACTCAGATGCCCCCATCCCCACCAGGGCGGGCAGGAGGGGTAGAGGGGGACATTCTGGGGTCCAGGAGTGGTATTTAAACATAGGTTTTCGTTTAAAAAGCTGCATCAAAACAGACCTATACAGGACCATCTTCTACTTTGGCACCCATCTTTCATTAGTTTACCTGTGTGCTGAGGGCTTGTAATGCCAGCTTAGCTGGCATACGTGTTTAGGAGCATGTCTGGCTGACTTAGTCCAGGAATGGGTGAGAGGAGTGAGAGCCAATCACGGGGATGGTTCACACTCTGAGTGCCTGTTCCCCATGGCCTGGAAAAGGGGCAGTTCGTTTCTCAGAGAGAATGGTAGATGCTGATTACTTGACGCCAAGGAAAGCTTTACTGTGTTTATTTATTTGCCTGTTCCTTCCACCAGACTGAAGGCTCCTAGAGCAGGGATTGGCTCTGTTTTTCCCGTGTCCCCAGGACCATCTATCTGCCTTTATTCCCTGTTGGAGACGTGGAGGAACTGATAGGAGAGAAACAAGATTGGGAGATAAATAAGCTCATCAGGCCAAGGAGTTAAAGATGTGATCTGTAGGCAGCAGTGGAATCTTATATCTAGACTATTACTTTGTCAGTGTGGGGACAGGCTCAGCTAAGATGGAAAAGCCAGCTCGGGTAAGAAGGCCAGCGAGGGGTTCAGGAGCCGTTCACGTACAGTCGCAGGCTCTGCTTTTAGAGCCCTGCCGGGGAAAACACGAACAGATTGGAGAGAGCGCTTGGGGGTTTGATTTTGTAACTAGCCAAGAAGTCAGTGTGCTGAAGTTCCGTGGCAGGCCACGTCCTTTGCATGCTTGAGCCCCGGATTCAATCACCACTAACCCCCACCCCAGCAAAAGAACTCGAAACAGATTAGATGTTGACTATTAGAAAAGAGAGTAGGGCGTTTCAGAAAACCTGAGAAGATAAAGCAAGAGCGATAAGGCAGGAAAACAGAGGCGGACACCAGGGGAAGATTGTCTGACTTAGCCTGGCCTTGCGGCTCTCTTGTGGCCCCGGCATGCAGGAGATGGGCATAGGTTGTGGATTCGGGGCCAGCTACATCATGAAACCTTGTCAAAACAGAAAGGAAGGAAGGAAAGACAGACAGACAGAAGGAAGGAGATAGAAGGTAAGGAAGGAGGTCTCATTTACAATTTTGGAGACTCCAATCACAACAGAGGTAGAGAAACTGAGCATCCCTCCAGCATCGCGTGTCCTGAGTGTCATTTGGGGCTCTCTACTGCTCCTCAAAAGGAAATGAAGGGAATGAAGTCTTCTAAGAAGCTGTCTTTTGGAGAATGGTTGGTTGTGTGTAGCCAGAAACTTTTCTGTGCCCTGCCCTGTCCTACAGCCGCTTCTAAAATAATCCTTCAGAGGCTTAATATTAATTATAATTATTTGGCCCTAGGCTTGGGTTTGTTACTACCTAGCTCTTACATATAAATTAACCCGTTTCTCTCAGTTTATATTTTATCACGAGGCTCATGGCTTGTTACCTCAAATCTTGCTTCTCTGGCTGCTGCCAGCGTCTCTCTCAACCCCGCCTTCTTTTCACCTCTATCTCTGCTTGGATTTCCCATCTGGCTCTATTCTGCCCTGCCCTAGGCCAAAGCAGCTTGCTTCATCAACCAATAAAAGCGACACATATTCACAGCGTACAGAAGGACGTCCCGCATCAGTTGTGCGCACACGTAAAATACCTTGCTGTGGATTTTTTTACCTGGAGTCGTGTTGAGTTGGGCTAGAGGGAGCTTAATACTGGGCTTTCTTTTAAAAAGGCTTACTTGCTTGCATTCCAGGAGAGAAGCCTGGTTGCACACTTTGGCACACGAGCCTTGCTCTTTTAACTCTACCTACCTAAGCTCGCAGGTCTGCCAGAGTGAGAAGAAGGAGAGCCGTCGGTGGGAAATAGGATCCTTAATATCTCCTGGAACTCTCTGTGACATTTGAACAACCCATTCTGCTTGTCTGGTGATGGAGAAACACTGTTCTCCGCTCTGATATTTTGTTAGGTCCAGGAGTGAAAGGCAGATGGTTATGAACATTTCAGTTTTTACAGGGACAGAGTTGGTAACAGTGAGGACATTAACCAGGAGTGTGCCCTCTCAGGTACTTTCTTGGTTGGTTTTCCCAAATATTAAAGGATTACACACACACACACACACACACACACACACGGTGGCTCAATGGCTAAAGTGCTTGCTGATCAAGTGTGCGAACTGGAATCTGGATGCCCAGCGCCCACATAAAAGGCAGGCAGGCACGGCGGTCTGCTCCTGTAATCTCAGTGCTCAGCAGGCAGAGACGGGGGCCCCCCAGGATAAGCTGGGTACCCCTAGAATAAGCTGGTTACCTAGTAGACTGCCAAATCAGGAGCTACAAGTTGAGTAGGAGAACACACCTCGGAGAAGTGGAGAGTGGGCAGGAAGACAGTCAGAGCCAGCCTCTAGCCACAGGTTCACTCTCAGTGCACACGTGCGCCCCCCCCCCGCATGTGGACACATATACCCGCATGCGCACACATACACATAAAAATAAGAAAGAATATACGTAGACAACAGGTGGAAGGCATAAGAGCCATAAAGCCATGGGTGGCTGCGGGCCACTGCAAGTACGAGAGGCAGAGCCATCTTGGGGTCCATGGAGGACCTGCTCCACTCTCATCTTAATGGCGAATCAATCCCACACCAGTTATGTTTTAAAGGGGTACTTATTTTGGGGGGGTAAAACTTACATATACCATAAACCGTCAGGAAGGGAGCCTAGTCGCTGGAGCAGGAGCCGGAACCAAGAGGCCAAGCCGAGCTTGCCGCTCTTTTAAAGAGAAATATACCACACCCCAGTGGGCTGGTATTTCAGCGGCTATTGGCTGAGGGAGCGGAAGGCGCTCCCGCAACACCGTGGGCTCGTGCTTCAGCGACTATTGGCTGAAGCAGAGGAAGGTACTGCCCGCAGCATCATCTGGCTTATAAAATGTCACCTCTGGATCAGATTGGCTCCTACGCTCTGTGTAATGCTTCTTTGCTTCAGAAATCACTGTACTTCTCATGGTTCAAACAATGTCTGAAGAGCAAAAGGGGGTGATGGCTCCTGCCTTCCTACTGTGACAGTCTGCCTTGTTTGGTTTGTTTTTGTTGTATTTTGTTTTGTTTCTCGAGACTGGGTTTCTCTGTGTAGCTTTTGGAGCCTGTCCTGGAACTCACTCTGTAGACCAGGCTGGCCTGGAACTCACAGAGATCCGCCTGCCTCTGCCTCCCGAGTGCTGGGGTTGAAGGCGTGCACCACCACCACCCAGCCCAAGTCTGCCATTTCTTAAGTAATGTGGAGTTGAGGAGCCATCTGCCTTTTAGGTCATCATAACTTAATGTCGGATTATGTAAGCTCAGATGTAAATTTATTGGTTTTTCCTAATTTTTACTTTTGCATCAGACTAACAATATTGCAAGATTACACCTGAGCAGAAATAACCTGGTGACGTTTATTTCAGGCCAAAGAGGAGGATTTGAACTTGTTCAGCATCGCAGACCTGAAGGATCTCTCATCCCATCAGCTGAATGAGTTCCTGGCGCAAGTGCTTCAGAAGGTGAGCAGCAGCTTCCAGCCCTGGAAACGAGCATGGACGCAGAGGCACAGTGTGTGTGCCGTCCCCAACGCAGGACAAAGTACTCAGGAAGAACCTTGTGGGAAAAGAAACAACATAGTCCGCTCTTTCATTTTTTTTTTTTTTAAAAGCCTTTGTTGAATTATGATCTGACTCATACCGTGCCCGATCAAAACACGTTCTAGAAAGCTGCTGAGCCACTGGGAGGGGAAGGTGTGTGCTGCTGGCAGCAGCGGGAAGTGTATTCTAGATGCCGTTCCTACAGAGCCGTCATGGAGGATGGGCTTCTGAAGGGGCCTTAGCAGAAGAGTGGCATCAGCCAACGGAGGGCGGATGCTCTCCAGACAAGCAGTAGAGCTGGGTGAGGAAGTTCACAGAGCCTGGAGGCAGCATCACCTGTAAAACATCTCAGATCTGAAACCCAGGCATTTAGATTCTGTTCTGGCCAGTCAGAAGGCCTTTAAAACGGGAGTCGCTTTGATTAGATTGCAGGTTATGAAACCTAGCCTGCAAGAGGCGTGAAGGAAGGCGTCAGGAGGTAAAGAGAGACCAGAGCAGAGGGGAGAGACCACACAGCATGGAAATACAGTGTCTTGTGGCTCACTGGATTTGGAGCTTTTCAGGAAAGAATCCAAGTAGATTTTAATTCAAGTAGGTTTTACGTTCAAACCCAGATAACCAGAGAAATACATGGAAGGAGAGGAAAATCCACCATCGAAGGACTTAGAGAGGAGGGGTATGGGAATTTGAACCAGAATTTCCTTTGGGATTGTTGGGATTGGTGCAAAACCTAGCAGAAGGTATTGAGGCCACATGAGTAAGAGTTTGTTTTTGGTGCACCAGGCATCAGCTTCGTAGCTTTCTTTCTATAGTGCCACTGGCGTGACCTAGGATGGAGAAGAGGAAAACCGGATGGGCTGATGGGAAGGGGTGTGGCAAAATGAGAGTCTGGGAGGTGACCTTCATTGGCTGGCCTAGCAGCAGCACGGATTGGGAACTGACATGTCCACGTGGGAGCTAACATACTAACTTGGAATAAGCCTAGTACAGTTAGTAAGAATGGAGGTGGCTGGTGCTTAGGCAGTCCTGTCAGGTAAGGAGGCCACAGGGGGAGGAAAAGGGAGGCAGCACCTCTCTAGGGACCTCAGCCTGCCCTCTAGGCATCTCGGATTCTGTCCGTCCAAATTGAACTCATCTTTCCTCCCAAATGCGTTCCCCTTCAGTGTGGGTTAACATGAGCACAGGTGGGCCTAGCGTCCCCTGAACACCTATCTATGCATTTGTGTTTGTATGGTAAATGCACCCCACCCCTCCCCGCCAAGGACAGAGCCCAAATTACTCATCTCAAAGGGGTCTATGATACGAAAGGCTAAGGACTACCATTTCAAAAGGAGATAGATAATCTTAAAAGTGATCTTCAAAGGGCTAGACAAAGATAGAGCCAATCAGCCAAGGCAACCAGCGATGACCATGTAAGGAAAGTGATTTATCTAAAGGGTGGGATAAATTTAAGCTATGTAGGGTGAGGGGGAAGAACCTAAAGGATTCTGGAATGGTCGAGAAAGTCTGAGCAGAGTAACCAGCCTTTGTTTCAAGAGTTCTCCACAAAGTAGCTTGTCCCCATGTTCCCAGGAGAACATCCTTCTCAGGAGTTAGTTACTAGAGATTTACGCTATTGTGCACATGCTTCTCTTACCCAGCATATTTCTATATTCTAAGGTATTTAGAACTTTAATGTGGCTAAGAATTTCTCTCCAGCTCCTTTCTTCCAGGGAATCCTGTTGAAATGATCCGTCATATTTCTTCATTTTGCTCTTAGGCACCTCTTCCATTGGGGCACATAAAGCGAATGCAAGAGGTGTACAACTTCAATGCCATTAACAATTCTGAAATACGATTCAGGTACATCATTTTAACTTGTCTCTGTGGAAGAAAGCAGAATGCTAGCTTAAACCGTGGAGAAAGGGAAAACAGTCTGAGAGCCCATGAGTCCTGCCAATCCCTTGTCCCGTCCATCAACATAGATAATCATAGTGTATTGAAGGGATAGTTGTGATAGATAACATGATGATATTAATCTTTTTGCTAGACTTTGCACTAAGCTACCCTCAACTTAAAAAAAAAAAATTAGAATGGAGAGTTCAATGGTAAATAGGCTTCCTTTCCCAGGTAGCCAGGTCAACTCTGAATGGCCACAGCCATCCTTGATTCAAATTTGTAGTGTAAGGGTTAAGCAAAGTTACTTCATAAACTGACTTGATAAGACACGAACACTTCTATAGGCCAAGCCTAACACTTAATCTCTCCCAAGAACCAGCCCCTCCTCTTTCTCTTCTCCAGTTGTTAGCTGTGTATGTACAGATGTGGATGGATGATGTGAAAGTGCATGGTGTGATTGTAATGCAGATGTTAGCTGTGTATGTACAGATGTGGATGGGTGACGTAAAAGTGTACAGTGTGATTGAAATGCAGATGTTAGCTGTGTGTGTACAGATGTGGACGGGTGATATAAAGATGCACGGTGTGATTGTAATGTGGTTGTTAGCGGTGTATGTACAGATGTGGACGGATGACGTAAAGGTACATGATGTGATTATAATGGGATTGTTTTTATCTATAGTATAAGCATTTAGTTTATATTGGTCATTTCCTCCCCTCCTCATCTTCTCTCCCACGCCCCTAAAAATCTTTCTTTCAGATGGTTACGGCTCTGCATTCAATCGAAATGGGAGGAGGCCATTCCTTTGGCTCTAAAAATGGCAACTGAACAAGGAAGGATGAAGTTTACACGACCTTTATTCAAGTAAGGCCGACTCGAACTGTGCCTCATAGTTATGCGAGGTGGGAAGCAGAATGGGAAGATATTTCTTGTTAAATACTTGCATAAAAGGCTGTGCCTGTGGCTCCATGGTGGAGCCCTAGGCATACCTGAGGCCTGGGGTTCAATACCTATTCCTGCCTGATGGGAAAAATAGCGTTGTAAAATGCCATCTATAGCACACTTTTAAGTGTCATCTCAAGTTTGTTATCACAAATAAGAAATTGGTACTTGTGACCATTTAAATTTTAGAAAAATGTCTTAGCAGTTTCAGGGGCATGATGTATGGTTAGCTACTATAAGGCTAAGCAAGATGAAAGGAAATAAACTCAAGACAGTCTTAGATACACAGAAAGATTTTCTTAAAAGTATTAATTTTAATAATTAAAAATCACAAAGATCCAGGAATGAATGTCTAATGACAAAGAAATAATTAAATAAAATCAGTCTGAAAGGTTGTCCTCAGCACAGGGACAGGACTCTTGGAGGACAGAGGACCCGGCAGACAAAAGGGCGAACTTAGAGGGGAGGGGAGAGTTTTGCGGCGCCAAGAAGCCGCTGCAGCAGGAGCTGGAGGTGCCGAGCACTCCCCTCCAGCTGGGCGGGTCCAGAAAGGTTTTTGAAAGAAAATTTGGCGCACGGGGCCAAGGAAGAGTCTAAAATTATTTTATTTTTAATATTTATTTATTATGTATACAATATTCTGTCTATATGCCTGCAGGCCAGAAGAAGGCACCAGACCCCATTACAGATGGCTGTGAGCCACCATGTGGTTGCTGGGAATTGAACTCAGGACCTCTGGAAGAGCAGGCAATGCTCTTAACCTCTAAGCCATCTCTCCAGCCCCAAGAGTCTAAAATTAAATACAAGGAAATTTGCACAAAGAGCAAGCTCTGAGTCAAGTGTCGCTTGATGTATATAGCAGAGGAATGATTGGGAGATGGGAGGGATGGAATGTATTTTAGCAGCAAGATGTGATTTAAGAATATCTCCACTAAGTTCCCTGATTAGGTATTTGCTCCATATTATTAAAATTTTATCATCAATGACCTAAATCTCATGAAAATTTTGCATTCACTTCCTAAGTATGATAAAATTTTGTCCATGCAAACCATTACCTGGTTTTTGAAATATGACCACAAAACTACTTCTTAAGGTATTTTGAAGCAGGCTTCACTTGCTTTCCATAATTAAAATCCATCTACCTTTGAACTGAGTGACGTATACTTCAAATAAAGAATATACCCTTTGGAGCTGGCAAGATGGTTCAGCAGGCAAGGTACCTGCTGTCAGACCTGAGATCAGTCCCTGGGAGTCACATGGTGGAAGAGGAGCAGTTCCCACGGGTTGTCCTGTGACCTCCACACCTGTGCTAACACACACACACACACACACACACACACACACACACACATACACACCATAAAGAAATAAATGAATGTGAAAAGGGGAAAATAAATATTCTGTCTTGTAGCCGGAAACCCCTGGCCATACTCAAAATGATTAATCCTGCATTCCCTGTGTTCACTTGTGGATTGTTTGCCATCACTGCTTAACTATGGTTGGCTCTTTTCACTCTCTGTGAAGTTTTCAGAAATTCTTTTTATAGTTTAGAACGTTTAGACTCTTAAATGAGTGATAAAAATAAGTTTGAAAAGACAAAGTATTGAAGTGCATGTTCTCATACAAGGCCAGTTATACCTCCATACTCTTTGGCAGTAGCTACTACCCCTCCACTCTGCCTGTAACCCCCTGTAACCCCCATCCAAACCACTCTGGCTCGTCCGTGTAACCCCCTCCAAATATCCGTAGCCTGCCCTTTTATGGACCAGTATCTGATATGGAGTTTGTACAGAGACGTCTGGTTTTACTCAGGCGCTATACTTAGCTACCTTGCTGTGATCTTTAATTTAACCTCGGTATTGACATGATTTTTCTGTCCCTTTGTCTCTCTTTGCTCTGCAGGGATCTTGCTGCCTTTGACAAATCTCACGATCAAGCTGTCCGCGCCTACCAAGAGCATAAAGCCAGTATGCACCCCGTGACTGCCATGCTGGTGGGGAAAGATCTGAAAGTGGATTAAGGGCCTGATTGTTGCTGATTTAAGAAATTTCCTTTCTTTTTTTTTTTTTAAATTGAACCTGTGAAGAAATAAAAATTTTAACTCTCATTGTTATTTAAAATGTCTTCATTTGTTTATTATTTTCTCATAATTTCACTAAAATCCTCTACCTTTTAAAAACAATGTAGTTTATTATTTGTAAACTTTACTGAACTTTGCTCTTTTGACGTACAGATTTTAATGTTTATTTAGAGGCAGGATCTCACTCCATCGCTCAGACTGACTTTGAATTTACCACCCCCTTCTCAGCTTTCCATGTGCTGGCATTGTAGGTGTGTGCTACCACACCCAATAGAGTTTCAAATTTTTACATTAGGTTTTTTTTAGTGTAATTACAAAATATTTCGACACATTACTTATCTATTTTATTAATGTTCTCTTGCCCTCCTGGTTATTTTTACATTTGAATTTGCCAGCAGTCCAAAAATTTAGTGTGGTCAGTGTTTTTGCTTTTTGATTTACTTTTTTAATGTGTCTGTGCACAGGTATACATGTGTGCACATGCACAGGTATATATGTGTGCACATGCACAGGTATATATGTGTGCACATGCACAGAGGACAAAGAACGTCTTCTTAGACACTGTCCACATTTTTTCAGACAGGGTCTCTCACTGGTACCTGGACAAGGAGGCTGGGCGAGCTGGCCGGCAAGCCCCAGGGATCAGCCTGCCTTTGCCTCGGTAGCTCTGAGATTCCAAGCATGTGATGCCCCGGGCTTTTTAAATGTGGGTTCTGGGATTGAACTTAAGTCTTTGCAGGGCAAGAACTTTGTCAGCAGCGTTCTCTCCCCGATGTGGAGTTTTGCTTTTTAAATTATTTAAACATGAACACTTGGGTTTGCTTGTCACCAGCCTGGTTGTGGTAGGATAGATTCTCCTTCCAGAATTGTATAAGCTCTAGTAGGAGCCTGTGCTCGTCAGCCCCGGATCCGTCCTGCAGGTCCACCGTCCTCAGCCCCAGATCCATCCTGTGGGTCCAGCATCCTTACCCCAGATCCATCCTGCAGGTCCACTGTCCTCAGCCCCGGATCCGTCCTGCGGGTCCAGCATCCTCAGTCCCGGATCCGTCCTGCGGGTCCAGCGTCCTCAGCCCCGGATCCGTCCTGCGGGTCCAGCGTCCTCAGCCCCAGATCCATCCTGCTGGTCCAGTGTCCTTGCCCCATCTCCTGTTCTTCCCAGGTCAGATGGCGGCCCTGAGCACCGGTACCTCCCAGTATTATTCTCCCTCACTCTATTCAGCCTGCTTCATCACCTCAGTAGCCAGTAAAATCCTTCGCCCTCATAGAGCCTGTGGCCTATGGAGACACATACTGAAAATGATTGAATTTGAACCAAATTTAAAGGGCAGGCCTAATAGAGCAGCCTGTGACATTTCCACGCTCGACTTGGGAACCTCGGGGGCATTAGTTAGGTTTTCTCGGTTGCCAGGTACAAAACCTGGGTCAGTAAGAGCAGAGGAATATTATTTGAAACTCAGAGGCCTCAGCACTCATGTCTCCTGGGTGTTTCCCTTACGCACACTACACTCTGGCTCCCTCCCACCCTTGCTTTACCCATGGACAGACTACCACAATTCCCAATTCTCCAGCTGAGCCCGCTTCTGGTCAAATAAACTCTAGCCAAGGGAAGTGTTGCCTTAAAGTATAGGCTGGGGTGACTGTGTATCATCCATCACTGGGTACCCCCTAAAAATATGACGATTAAGAACACCTCAAAGATGGGACAGCCATCAGAAGTTCCAATCCTGGAATCCTAAAACTTCTTTGCTCCCCTTCTGCCTAACAGTTGTGTTCCCTTGGCTTTACCTGTGCCCCAGGGTAATCCTGGTTCCCAGCTCTCCGCTCTCACTTGTATTTCCTCACTGGAATGGGTAGGGGGCGCCAAAGACACATCCCTCTATAGGTTTACTTAGGGCCAAGGAAGAGTTCACATGGGCTCCAGTTATGTCCCGAGTTGTCTCCGTGTGCGTGATCAAACGCACACCATCACCAGAGGAGGTAGAAGAGAGGACGTTTCTACATGATGCAGAAAACAAACAAACAGAAAACTGGTTGTGCTAATGATGGCTGGAAAAGAATTTCGCCCACCTCACTTTAGGTGGTTTAATAAAAGTCTCAACAGAAACAACAGATAGTAGCCAAGGAAACTGGAGAGTATGGGGAGAAAGAACCAAGTCCATGAATGTGCTCACGTGTGAATAGACCTCATTTCATCTGCAGCGCCTGGCACGGAGCTTGGCACCTACCAAGTGTTCAGAAAGGACTTGGTGGATGAATGAATGAGTGAATGAATGATGGCAGAATGAAGGTGGTTCACATCTGAGGGTCATGGTTTTCCCAGAACCGCAAAAGATGAGACGTGTCTGGGAATTAAATGCAAATTGAGGAGAAGGGAAGGCGTGGGAAATTCCCTTGGGGGAGGCATGAGTCCGAGGGTGGGGCCATCCATCCATCATCTTCTTCACCAAAGGACTTGCTGCAACAGTCTGCTGGGGGAAGCAGACGACAGGCCAGCATCAGGACTTGGGGCATGGGTTTCATCCCCGATACAGGCCTAGATACGGGCTCACCGAGGACCTTGAAGCTGCTGAGCATAACGTATGAGCAATGAGGGTAGTTTCGCAAGCAGTGGGGTTCAGGGGGAGAAGAAAGGATTAACCTGAAGTCAGGCTCATGGGGAGAGATGAAGTAAGGAAGACGGAAGGCCGTGTCCTGAAGGTGGGATCCTGGAACAAAAGATACCGTCTCTGTCAAACAGTCATGTTGCCAAACTGCAGGGCACAATCCGGATGTGGCTGTCTCAAGAACACAATTCAATTAGATGCTGGAAGCGGATATGGATGTTGGCAGAAGCAACTCTATCTCTGTTCTGGAGTAGAAAGAGGCTGGGATTTCTGTTGGAACAATCCGATTTCTCTGAACTGACTCACTACTGGAGTACACACATTCCTTGGAGTCCCTTTTCACACGACCTGTGCTCCTTAACCCTGGTGGGGAAGAGTTTGGTGGCAACAGGGGTGACAGTTATTTGCAGTGAAGAAGCTTAGCTAAACCGGGGAGAGCTAGGTGCCAAGACAAGGAATAGATGCAAAGCCACCGAGGTCATGCGAGTTCAGAGTGAGAGCAATCCCAAACATTTCCTAAGCAGCCCCATCCAGCAGGCACTGGCCCCAGGGTTGGCAGACGAGAGATCACTTTGTCTTTTCCAGCTGCCCACTGGGACAGGTCCTAGCATTATCTCCATTTTATAGGTGAGAAAGTTGAAACCCAGAAGAGTCAAATAAACCACAGAGCCAGGATTTATTCCGGGTAGATGCCGCGAAGCACACAACAGTAGACAGTTTGCTTCCACATGAGAAAACAAGCAAACTGATAACTCACTACCCCAGGTCAGGAAGCTGGTCATCCATCTAGACACAAACTTTAGCTGTGGAAGTGATCTCTGGCCTTCTCAACCTTCCCTTGGGGAGCGACAGCTTCACAAGCACAAATGGGTGTCGGGGAGGCGTTGCTCAACTCGTGTTTGTGGAATGAATAAATAAATGAATGAGGATTGCCACACTGCCGGGTGTCACAATTGACCGAGGGGATGCGTTTTACCAGTTGAGTAATTCCCCGAAGAGGGGAACATGGTGTTTATGAGCAGCTCTCAAGGCAGACCTCAGAAAGAAACAGAGAGAACTTGGGGATCCTGGTCAGGTGGGGTACCAGCAGAGCTCAGAGCTCCAGGGTAAGAGACCCCTGGTCTTTCTCTGAAGGGTTGCATTGAAGGTGGGCTCACCTACCCATACCCCTCCCTCCAGCCCCTAGTTCAGCTTTCAAAAAAGGCCAAAAGAACACCAGAGACAGCAATCAATATTTGTTCAAAGTGTGAATGAGTAAAGGCAAGGGAAGGGGTGTGTTTTGAAAGTCCATTCTCAGTCTCTCTGCCAACCACACCCCAGCAGGCAACTCCCCTCCCGGGGAAAGGATAAAGACTCTCCAGTCTGGGACAGTAGCGAAGGAGCCAGCGGCCTGTTGCTCAGAAGGATTGTTCCAGTGGCCGAGCCATGCCTAGGTACACGGTGCACGTGCGTGGGGAATGGCTGGCGGTACCCTGCAAGGACGGGAAGCTCTCTGTAGGCTGGCTGGGCCGCGAGGCTGTGAGGCGCTACATGAAGAACAAACCGGACAATGGTGGCTTCGCCTCGGTGGATGAAGTGCGCTTCCTCGTGCGCCGGTGCAAGGGCCTGGGCCTGCTGGACAACGAGGACCTGCTGGAGGTGGCCTTGGAGGATAATGAGTTCGTAGAAGTGGGTGAGTGGCCCTCAGGGGAATGGGATGAACTGCCGGAAGTCACCCTCATCTCAGGGGAAATGACGTGAAAATAGGCTTGAGTACTCGACCCCAGGGAGTCTCAAGCTAAGCTTCTCATTCGCCCTGTCCTCAGCCTGCAACAGATGCAGAGAGGCAGATCCTAAGTGACAAGAGACTGCACTTGAACCCAAAGCTGCAAATCTGAATCCCCTTGCAATCACAGATTCCTTCCGCCATCAGATAAACCTCAGGCCCGAAGCTGGCAGCACAGGGGTGCCGAGATTGCAGATTTAGAAGAAGTGACCACCAGAGCAGGCGTGGAAGCCGGCTAGAACTGATCTTCCACCTATCGCCCCTCGCCTGCCTGTCTGCTTTTTTGCTTTCCCGAATAAAGGCGCTAAGGCCATGGGGAAATGTAGGAAGTCACGTGGCAGCCGCCATGGCTATGCAATGCAAGCTCAGTGCATGGAGGGGCCATTTCTGGGTCTGGCAGCAGTCCAAATGTGGTACCCTGTGGTCTGCAAGGCCCTTCTCTCCTCCCCTTCTCGTTTCAGTCATTGAAGGCGATGTAATGTCTCCCGACTTCATTCCCTCGCAGCCGGAAGGAGTTTTCCTGTATCCTTTCTGCATCGTCTTTAGTCCGCACTGGGGGCTGGGCCTGCCGTGGTGGGACTGGGGCTTTCCCACTCTGCCAGTATGTTCCTTTACCTGGCTTCAGATACAGCAAATACCGGGAGCCTGAGAGGGTGAGCTGAGAGCTACGTTTCTTTCTGTGGGGAAAATGAAGTCTGGTGACACAATACCTCTCCCCTTTAAAGAGGAGAGGTTCGTACCTGAATGAACGCCACATGTAAGGACAGATTTATCCAGCTCCGTGTTGCTACTGCAGCGAGCCTGGCCTCTGATTTTTCTTGCCCAGTCTCTTTATAAGCCGGGCATGTTTTTAATTACCATGGCAATGCCTCACAGTAATAAGCACAAAATATCTTCGGCATCAGACCGTGTCCAGGGCCACCCCTCAGAAACTGCCCCCGGCTCACTGAGACTCACTCCTTTTGTGCAGTACATTGCCTTGGATGGGGACAGTCTGAGCACAGAGGATCTGGTCAACTTGGGGAAGGGACGCTACAAGATAAAGGTATGTGGGGAAGGGAAAGGAGGCCAGCCTCCCTGCCGTTTCCACTGGCCGCGGAAGACTTTCACAGGCTCGCTCTGGCCAATGCTTTCCTAGCTCACTTCAACCGCCGAGAAGAAGGTGCAAAAGTCCAGGGAGGTCATTGACAGCATCATAAAAGAAAAGACAGGTACCGTTTCCTCGGGGTGCCCTGGTGCTGTTTTTTATGGACAAACGTAAGAACAAAACTTCCATTGAATCTAATCACGAGGTCGCCTGCTTAATTTTTTATTCCAGTTGTGTACGGCATCACCACAGGTTTTGGGAAGTTTGCCAGAACTGTAATCCCCGTCCATAAGCTACAGTAAGTCTCAACTGCACGTCCTCGCCCACCCACCTGCCCCGACTTTGAGATTTCGCCTCCACCGAGATGGTTCACAGTTGCTATGTTGACATTCATTGAGCAATGACATTGAGTGAGACCAGTGGCCCTCAACCTTCCTAAGGCTGCGACTCTTTAATACAGACTCTTCATGTTGTGGTGACTGCAACCGTAAAATGATTTCATTGCTACTTCATGACTGTAATTTTGCTACCGTTATGAATTGTAACATAAATAAATATCTGATATGCAGGGTATCAGGTGTGCGACCCCCTCAAGCAGTAGCAACCCATACATTGAGAACCATTGCTTTAGACCAAGCCTTGGGTAACAAATGCTCACACAACCCTGTGAGACAGCCACTCTTCTCGTGTATCTTGGTGAACAGTGTGAGGCTTGAGCTGACTTGTACCCAGCTCGTCACGAGAGAACCAGGCCTACTGTCCCCTGCCCATCTGAAGCCATAACTCTTGTTCCCTTTATATTCCCGGCCGAGGGAGCGCGTTCACCCAAGCTTTCTAAGAGGGTTCTCACCTTTCTCTTCCAGGGAGCTTCAGGTCAACTTAGTTCGTTCCCATTCTTCAGGTAAACTGTTCCTACTATCGGGTGCCTTCTAAATCACCTTATATCACCTGATTGGCTAGCGTAGTGCTACCAGCCACATCGGCTGATTTTGTTCTGAATGCACGCCAAGGTCCAGGTGCTAGGGACCCAGGAGTGTGAGCCGATGACGTCAGACCAGACCAACCTTGTGCTGCAACTCAGAAGACAGAATGGGCCTGGTGGGGGGATGCGCTTGAGATAGGAGCATGTATCCAATCCTATGAAGAGAGTGGTGTGCTTTGGGGAAAGAATGAAGGCTAGTATTGGGGGTGTGAGCTAGGGAGGATAAGCTCTGTGCCCATCACTCTGAAGGGGCCTGTGTCAAGGCCTCGCTGCCGTATTCTGAAGGTATGTAGGCAGGTGAGGTTCACTGAAGGGCTCTAGCAAGGAATTGAGAAGGAGAACTGGGTCTCTAGCTTAGTCTGGACGAGGTTTGAGGAGCCAAACAGGCAACAAGGAGGGCCATCCATCCAGCTTCAGAAAGCCAAGAGAAGACTGGCAAAAGTGGGCAAAGACCCAAGAGGGGAGGGTGGGCAGGAGGTGAGGGATTTGGTTTGGGATGGGTTTTTTTTTCTTGAAGAAAATGACAATTCTGCTTTGTAGGTGTTGGGAAACCACTCAGCCCTGAAAGATGTCGGATGCTCTTGGCTTTGAGGATTAACGTGTTAGCCAAAGGATACAGCGGGATTTCCTTGGAGACCTTGCAGCAAGTCATTGAAGTGTTTAATGGTAAGGCACTGCCTCCTTCGTGTGGCCTTCCAGAGAAGTGGGCCACACCCCAAGAAGTATATTAGGGTGACTAGATGCTGAGGCTAAAGAGAAAAGAATCGAGATGAGTGTCAAACAGGTTTGGCAAGAACCAGTTGTCAAGTAGCAAGAATGGCAGCTCTAGCTACTCCCACAAATGTCAGCCTATCTTGTGGTATCGTTTAAGATAAGCATGAACCCTACCAGTAGGCCTACACAGAGCTTTCAATTGTGCCATAGAAGGGCACAATTCAATGGCGCCCTTCTATGATCAGAGAAATGGCACCAAGTCATCCATAAGCCTGATCCTGGATTATGTCCATCCCAGAAACAGTGGTTTCAGTTGATACCCAGGAATCTGAACTTTTAATGTTTTCCCCACCCCCCATGATGGATAAGTTGTACTCGCACATGGAAATCTAAAGGTAGGTCAAAATGAGAAGAGGTTAATAATTGACTTAGCCATGAAGTCATTGTGGGACAGGACATGATGCCACACAACTCAGCCCTTAAAGGGGAGGCCAGATTTGCAAGGCTCGGGAAGCTGTCTCTTCTCACAGCTAAGGATAAAACACGAGGTCGATGGGAATCCTAGGGATCCTTGGGGGAAAGGGATGGGAAAAGGTGCAAGGTCTCACAGTCATGCAGAGAAGACCAGATACTGGAGTTGCTATGCAGAGGGCCCAGGGGGACTCATAAATGTGACACAGTGACCAGCGAAGGTCACAATCTACAGGCTATAGGGCTATTCACACAGATCCGTAGTGATCACATCTACAAGCTCGGCTCCACCACACACCTCAAACCCCAAGACAGTAGAGCTCCAACTTTGAAGGCACTGGTGCTCCGATAGATGCATTTAAGGCATCTCTGGGTCCCTGCTGCTCTGAGAATTCCCCAGGTCACCTGTAGTCTGGAAACTGGCCCACGGGTTGGCCTGATGTGTCTGACTGATGTCATTTAACCACAACTGTAGAAACAGTCGCCGTGAGCGGGTTTTATTTTAGGAAACAGGAGTCTCCTTTTAGGGGTAACTTTTGGGGAGATTTCTGAAAAAATAGCACATGTTTATACATGAGCTGGCATAGTGCATGGGGTGGTAAGTGAATGACCGGAGAGAGAGAGAGAGAGAGTTTTGCCTGTAAATTTATTGTTAAACGACTTTTGTTATTAGTACTTTGGTCTTTGGTGTGTGCAGATGGAGACCACGCTTTGTTTCCCGGCCACCCAGACCCAAATAATCACACAGAAACTATATTAATTACAACACTGTTTGGCCCCTGGCTCAGGAGTATTCCTGGCTATCTCTTATATTCGAATTTAACCAATTTCTATTAGTCTATGCATTGCCACGTGGCCATGGCGTTACCTCATTTTCTACGTGGCTTGTTTCCTTGGAGGCTGGCTGGTGTCTGACCTGACTCTGCCTTCTTTTTGTCTGTATCTCTGCTCGAATTTCCCACCTGACTTTACTCTGATAAGCCATTGGCCGAGACAGCTTTATTCACTAACCACTAAAAACAATACATATATAGAAGGACATCCGACATCAATGTGCCATGTCCTTCTTTTTAAAGTAGACATTTTACTTTTGTAAAAAGTCAATATTTACATGTTTTAAAGCATTCTCCAACAGCTTTTATTGACTGCATATAATCTGATCACATGAATATCCCTTAATTCTGTATCTTCATGATTTCTAACGTTTTGCTCTTAGAAACCAGGATGGGGCCATCAACAGCTAGTTTATTATTGTGTTTCTGAGATAACTGCTAGAACCCTAAGAGTGACGTCATGACAGCCTGAGCCTCATGTCCTTCCCTCTGGAAGCCTGTCCCCCCAAGCACATATTTTCTTTCTTTCTTTCTTTCTTTCTTTCTTTCTTTCTCTCTCTCTCTCTCTCTCTCTCTCTCTCTTTCTTTCTTTCTTTCTTTCTTTCTTTCTTTGTTTCTCTCCTTCCTTCCTTCCTTCCTTCTTCTCTTCCTCCCTCCACACTCAACTCCCTCTTTCATAACAACTTAGCTGTCTCTGCTCTCTCCCTCTCTCTCTCAGTTCTTGAGACAGGGTTTCTCTGTGTAGCTCTGGCCATTCTGGAACTCACTCTGTAAACCAGGCTGACCTCGAACACACAGAGATCCGCCTGCCTCTGCCTCCCAAGTGCTGCCACCACCGCCTGGCTCACCTTCTTCTCTTAAGCATTAGTCGTGCCTCCGAAATGACCATTCTTGGATATGTATACTCAAAATGACTCTAAATTCTGTTGGAAATGAGGATTGTCCTCACTGGCAAAGCAAGGATAACTACAACGGTGCAAGCCCTCTTGAGGTCACTGATGCCTGCTTCTCTTGCAGCCTCCTGCCTGTCCTACGTTCCAGAGAAAGGAACTGTGGGTGCCAGTGGAGATCTTGCGCCTCTCTCTCATCTTGCTCTGGGACTCATTGGAGAAGGAAAGATGTGGTCCCCAAAGAGCGGCTGGGCTGATGCTAAATACGTAAGCCTCACGTATCAGCTTTCTCCATAGTGATTCTCCTCCGCTGGAGCCGGGAGACTGGCGTGTGTTGTCTCACTTCGCCTTCATGGCCGTCCAGTTATAGATGAGTCAATTCAAGCCCAGGGAGTCAAACTAGGAAAGGATATTGGCTTCCATATTCCCCTGCCGGCATCCAAGATAGGCAGATCTGGATGGGAACATATAGTCACTCGTTTAGTTTCAGGAATTTGCTCTGCACTCACGAGACTGCTGGTGCCCACTGGGGAGGTCACAGCGGGTCAGAATTGTATTGGGGAGCTTATTTTACAGGTGAGAGTTGTGAAAGACAGAGCCTGCTGTGTGGTCTCTAGAGAGCACAGCCTGTTCTTGAGCTTGTCAGGAAGGCACGGCTTACACAAAGCTTGTGATGGTTGCTTCCTGAACAAATCTCAGTTGAGCATCCCACCGCGTCGTTTAAAGTGTCCTCTGTGAGTAGCTATGAGAGGCGTCCAAACAGTAAGTGAAAGAGATAGAGGATTGGGACTGGAGAGATGGTTCAGTGCAGAAAAGCCCTGACTGTTCTTCCAGAGGTCCTGAGTTCAATTCCCAGCACCTATATGGCAGCTTGCAACTGTCTGTAACTCCAGTTCCAAGGGATCTGGCTCCCTCACACAGATAAGCGAGCAAAATATCAATGCACATAAAATTTGTTTTTAAAGAAATCTGAAAAAAAAGACATAGATAGAGACAGACAGACAGACAGACAGATGACCAAGGAGGAAGAAGAAACTAGATTGTCCCTTGGGCTTTGGGGAATTCAAGTTCAAGGTCATCGTTCTTCCCTGCGGCCTATCTTGGTTCTGTCTCTATGGACAGTGTTTCCTCAACCACCTTAACGTGGCAGCCAGCCCGATCCTTGGTCAACAGCAAATCCAAACACACCCTGGCTAAACTTCTAGCATTTCCCTCATCTTTAGGATAAAGGTCAGCCATGATGTGACTTCAAGAATGTTGTTTTCCACGTGATCCTCGCAGCCCGTCCCTCCCCGGGGTCTCTATGGCAGAAACTATAGCGTTAGCTTGCAGCTGGAATGTGCGCTGGGCTAGGCAGAAGGCACAATACTTTGTTCCCATTTGTGTCTTTTATCTTGAGAAGCCCTCTGGGAATCCACCCTCTCTGCTCCTCTGCTCCTTTCTTTCCAAGTCACCCACACATAAGTGCTTACGTCTTATTTATTTCCCAAGCGCTCATCCCTTGCGTGGCCTGGGTGCCCTGAGCTTGTCTGTTTCTACTGTGTGTACCCCCAGCCCAGCCCAACACCCTGCGGTGAGAAGTACTCAGACCCTGAGAAATGGGCAGAGTTAATTAAGAGGCAGCCGTCGTCTGTCTTTCTCCCACTTTAACTCCATCTTCCTTTCCCCCACCAGGGGGATCTCACGTCGTAGCAGCTTTTACTTCTGTTACCTGAGAGAAATCGTATTCTGCCCCCTTCCTCTTGGAATTCTGGCTCTACCTAGTTGAGGGGATTCCATAACCTCCTCTTCATTGGTGTGGGCACATTTGCTCCTAAGCTTTTCCCTGAGAGTCTATCGGTGACAGAGGATGCAGAAACAAGGGTAGAGGACCATCTGGGGTCATGCTTTAAATGCAGACGCATGCATATAGACAGGCAGCCTGGAGCCCAGCCTTAACCGAGTAGGTATATCAGGGTGAGGGGTCTCAAAGATTGATACCCAACACAAAGGAACTTGAAAGCAAAATGTATTCTTCCCTCACCCCTCTTTGGTTTTTCAAGACAGGGTTTCTATGTGTAGCTTTGGAGCCTGCCCTAGAACTCACTCTGTAGACCAGGCTGACCTTGACCACACAGAGATCCACCTGCCTCTGCTTCCTGAGTGCTGGGATTAAAGGCACGCAACGCCACCACCCAGCGCAAAACATACTCTATAGGCAACCAAGTTCTTGCTTCAAAAGTCCACATTTATTTAAAAAACTAAGCCTGATTCCTCACTAAATAGATGCTGGCCCCAAGAACCTGGCCAGAACCAGTTTATGTAGGCATAATCTTTTATAAGACAAACTTTGGAACTGAGAGTATTTCACTGGGCTCCGTATGAAGTAAAAAAATAATCTGGTAGTTCAAGTAATAACCATGTTCATGTTTTTAATCATTCAACAGGTCCTAGAAGCCCACGGGTTAAAACCAGTTGTTCTGAAACCAAAAGAGGTAAGTCAGTCCAGAAAAACTGGTTTGTGTGAGCAAATCTTCACATTTGCAGTTTTCATCCGTACTGGCAGCCTCATTGGTTCTTTAAACACAGTTTATGTGTTGATTGATAGCTACTCACAAAAGGACTCCTCTGTGAATATTTAAGATTAGTCACGCCACAAGTCCCCGAGGGTTTTCTAAGAACATAAATTTCAAATATAGTTTTCTAAGGATTTTAATAAGAACTGCTTAGTCAAGGTCCCTTAAGATGCTCTCAGCCACAATTTTGGACCAAGATAATCTTAGGATGTCTTGTCTATGATGGAACTTTGGACCAGGATAGTCTCAGGATGTCTTGTCTAAGGTGGTGGGAAGTTATTAAACAATATAGCACAGAGGGACGAAGATGCTCCATGCTCCACGCATTCCAGAGTGCAGGGCCGCATGGTGCCTTGACAAGGGAAGTCAACAGGTACCCTTTGGCCAGATTTGTGCTGATGATTCCAGATATGACGCCGCTCAAGCTCCATGAATATGCACGCCTGGCCCACATGTGTGAAAACACACAGATACACCAGATATGATGTCGCTCAAGTTCATGAATATGCACACCTAGCCCACACGTGTGAAAACACACAGACACACCAGATATGACGCCGCTCAAGTTCATGAATATGCACACCTAGCCCACACGTGTGAAAACACACAGACACACCAGATATGATGCCATTCAAACTCATGAATATGCACGCCTGGCCCACACATGTGAAAACACACAGATGCCTAGTTCAGTCAACTCCCCAGTTTCTCTCCTACAAGAACAGATCTCCTCGTCTGTGGGTTCATTACAAAGAACACAGTAAGAAACCATTCTCCCTTTTCCCACAGGGCCTGGCACTCATTAACGGGACCCAGATGATCACGTCCCTGGGCTGTGAGGCTGTGGAGCGAGCCAGCGCCATTGCCCGGCAGGCTGACATTGTGGCTGCCTTGACCCTTGAGGTGCTGAAGGGCACCACCAAAGCCTTCGATACTGGTCAGCAGGCTCTGTTATTGACTCATTCAACCAGGGTGACTTAGTTGACAATTTTAGGCAGAGGTAGATGGGATGGGAGGCAGGGAAGAGCGAGAAGAGCGAGAAGACGCAGGTGTCCTAATACCCAGAACTGCTACAGCTGCATCTGAGTTCTGTTATGTTCAGTCCTATAACAGTGACATTCTGGGTTTTTTGTTTTGTTTTGTTGGAGACAAGGTTTTTCTGTAGCTTTGGTGCCTGTCCTGTTACTAGCTCTTGTAGAACAGGCTGGCCTCGAACTCACAGAGATCTGCCTGCCTCTGCCTCCCGAATGCTGGAATTAAGGCATGCACCACCACGGCCTGGCTAACAATGACATTGTGAAGACAGACACTAAGCAACCTGCTCCAGATCACCAGTGATCTGGGCATGCCAAAGTAGACATTGCTTTAGGAGTCAGTGTGTAAGACTTGAAACTCAAAAAAAAAAAAAAAAAAAAAGGTGTGTGTGGGGGGCTGGGGAGAACTCAGTAGGTAAAGATCTTGTTTTGTAAGTACAAGGACCTAAGTTCAATCCCCAGAACTGACATTTTAAAATTTGTGGTAGTGTGTGCTTGTAATGCATCCCAGAGCTCAGGAGATGGAGACAGCAGACCCCTGGTGCTTGCTGGTCAGCCCAGCTTCCTTGATGAGTTTCAGGCCAGTGAAACTCTGTTTCAAAATGAAAATTAAGGGAAAGGGGGAAGAAAGGTGAACAGTGCCTAAGGAATGACACCTACTCTTGCTCTCTGGCTTCCACACGTGCATTCATATATTCTCGGGCACCTGTGCATGTGCTCGTGCATGTGTAGACAGACAGATGCCTGTGCGCGCGCACACACATGCACACACACACACACACACACACACACATACACACACACAGAGATTGCAACTGCCCTGATAAGAAAACTGGGAAGACAAAATGATATAAGTATCTGTATCTTATCTGGGAATTAATGATATCAAAGGCTTCGTGTTAATAAGTAGAGTGGAAAATGTCCAAAAATGACTTGGTTAAATTAAGCCACTATGCACACTCTCCATTGTCACCAGTCCAGGTCCTTTAAGGGTGGGCCTGGGGTCTTGTATCACGTTTCTAAGTTTGTGTGCCAACATCTACAACAGAGCCAATCGTGTATATACAGGAAAATTTGCCTTTGGGTTGGAGTATTTAATTCTGCCTGATGAGTGAGAACTTTCAGAACTTTAGTGGGTTCTGTCAGCACTGTGGATGGTCCTGAACCCTCTGTGGTTCATTCTGATATCAGACTCGCACAGACTTTTTTTTTTCTCCCCTCCTTCAATTCTAGACATTCATGCTGTCCGCCCTCACCGTGGGCAAATTGAAGTTGCTTTCCGGTTCCGGTCCCTCTTGGACTCGGATCACCACCCATCAGAAATCGCAGGTCTGAACAAGTTTGTCTGAGTGGGCTCATGGGTGCTGTGTGTGTTGGGGAGACCAGTAATGTGTTGCCTGTTTTCTTCCCCGCAACTCCTCCCCCGCCCCTCCTTGCCCAGAAAGCCACAGGTTCTGCGATCGTGTCCAAGATGCATACACCTTACGCTGCTGTCCACAGGTAAGGTCAAGAAACAGGAGCCCAGAGGGGGAAATTCAGAGGGGGAAAAATAGAAAAAGAGGAAAGATTTAGAAAATCATGTCATGGCCAAATGTAATTCAAATCTCTCTGCTGCTTCTGTTAAAAAAAAATACGCATTCTATATCCATTTCTCTTGTCGTTATCAGCTTCTTACTGGGTCAGCTAGACCTCTCATTTCTTGACCTCCTGTGTTGATACACTACAACGACTAAGTAGCATTGAAGAGTCTCACTGGCTCTTCCTGAAGGGAAAATCTACAGTCAGCCAGTCAGTTCAAAGGAAAGTGATCACTGAATTCTGCCTTTCAGAATTCGAGTGTCCAGGGAGCATATCTTTTCTTCCTCTCACAATCAAGTAGAAACAATCACAAATGACTCCCTGACACAATTTTAAGAAGTGGGCACAGCTGCTTTTGCATAATCTGACTGATGAGCAATTACAGACATCTCAGGAACCGAGCTGTCACTCAAGTTCTGGTCGAGAGACTAAGAGGGCGTTTGCCCTAGAGCAAATCCTTTCACTGCCTGCGACTCAACATGTGTTATCTGGCGAGCCCATTAAACAGTAGCTCAAAAACGTCTAGGGGAGAGAACTGCTGAATTAGCTGAGCTGTAAGAATAAGTCCTGGTTTAAGAGCCCCTGCTATCCTAGAATGATGATTGGCTCCAAATGATGGGCTCCATTATCGGTGCCTTCCAAATACTAATTCATTGAATTTTCCCTACTGTGAAATTGGTACTTTCTCCCATTTTGCATCCAGGACCCGATGAACGGGGTTCAGTACCCTCCTTGCCCAAGATCATAGCATAGATCTTATCTTCTGGTCTTCTGAGAGAGGCCAGAAGTGTACTATGGCTGTCCGTCCTGGGGCAAGGTGCAGGGCGACAGCTGTCCTTGTGAGCATCTTCAGCCTTATGCTTCTTGACGTCAAACCCTGAATGGCTACCATGTGGGTGATCTCTGCGAGTCATCTCCAAGAGAGGCCTATTGTATCTTATTTACTTCTTACCAACAGAAAGTAACTGCCATCATCTACTTCCCAAGTCACTGTTCCAACCAGAAATCTCACTTGCCTACATCCTACCACTGGCATGGAAATGCAATTCTTTGTGGCTAGGGCTGGTGCTTTTTTCCTATACCGCGATGTTTTGCATATTAGTCTAATATTTTTGTATTTATTTATATATTATGTTAATGTATTTATTCTAATTTGTTTTACTGAGAACTTATCGGTTGTCTTCCTATCCCAAAGAAGCCAATTATACTTGCTATGATCATAACTGCAAGGACTGGAGATGGCGTTTTACAAGAATATTGGCATTCTTATTGGATATTAATCACATACCTGATTTTTATTGCGCTTTAGGTCCACGGCGTGGTGAATGATACCATAGCATTTGTGAAGGACATCATTACTACAGAACTGAACAGTGCTACAGACAATCCTGTATCTTTTGAATGTTCAACGCGGTTGCAGCTTTCTCTAGTTGGCTGTGTTAGGGTCTGAGTTGAATTAGCCTGTCTCGTAGGTAAATGAGTAAGTCCCTGGAGCTGAGTACTTGGGGGCTTCTTCTAGGTCAGAGTCGGTAAGTGACAGAAGCAGACACGCGAACGTAGGTTTTGAGTCTAGCTTTTAAAATGGACCCATAAAATACTAATGCAGCATTTGTGGGCATGTTTCACCGAGGCACTGACTGAAAGCCACTGCTGAGGTTGTGGAGGATGTGACTAGGGCCTCCTAGGCTGGCCTTCCCTCTGCAGCCTGGTTCTAGTGATGCAGGATACGCTGGGCAGAAAACAACACGCTAGCACATCAAAGTGTTTCCGGTGACGTAAGGCTTCCTCATCCTCAGGTTTCCTTCTGGAGTGGACTCGACTCGGGCCACAGTATCTGTATCTGTACACGTGGTTAAGAATGCTTTCATTCCTTGTGGAGGGGGCCTTTTCTCCTTCGCGGGATCTCTTTCTCCTAGAGTCTGGTTTTTTTTCTTTTTGAAGCTGAACTAATTAGTCAGGGTACAATCTTTCCAGAGGCATCGCTGCCTTTGAAAACAGGCAAGCCTCTTAAGAACCCTTTTCTTCCCATTCCGCAGCTGCCTTCCTACTCAATCAGGGAGAAACCGCCTAGGGAGCCACCGTGAGAGCAGCTCACAGCCCTGGTGAGCAGATGGCAGGTTACCCAACAGCTGTGGCAGGCTTCTCACCAAGGCTTGAGTGTGCTATTCCCTTAAGCCTACCTTAGGATTTCGTTTTATGTTCTCCGAGGTCACTTCATCAGTTCAAACCGGTAGTCGCTAATCCTTGGGATTACGAATCTGTCACGCATTCTAGAAGGAACAGCGTTTTTTATGCATGCTGTGCATGTGGTCTTGCTCTTCATTGGTATGGGGCAATTCTATACCGGCACAGTTAGACCTTTAAGGGTAACTCAAGAGTTAAAAGGGAAAGGATTAGAATGAATTTGCTGGATATGGATGACAGATTTTTAATTTTCTCCCAGCCATAATTTCAGCCAAAAGTCCCCTACCTTCTTAATAAAAGACTCTTGATTGTGGATGAATTCTCAGCTAGTTGAGAGTACCTCTAGTCCTGATGTTCCCTGAGAGGACAGGTTTCTCTGTGCTGCCCTGCAGGTAAAGAGCACCCAGGGCAGAAAGGTGGGTGTTAGGGAAGCCGGAAGTTGCTGGAATTCTAGTGACTAACAAAGTTGGGAAACAAGAGAATAATATGACATGTTTAGTTTCTAAATTAGAGCAGCAGTCAGTCAATACAGGGATTCAGGGGACCAAGAGAAGACTGTGCCTTTGTGGGGCTGTAGGATACTTTCCATTGCAAAAATCTTTGCATGTTCAAATCCCTAATTTACTTGTGGATAGCCCATGCGCTTCTTCCTGGACTTTTAAGTCCTTTCTAGATTACCTGTGACACCTAGTACAGTGTAAATACTACATAAATAGTTGTTTTATTGTATTATTTAGGGAATAATGACAAGAAAATGCCTGCACATACTCAGTATAGATACAATTTTTATTTTTCTTTTTTAAAAAATTATTTATTTATGTAATTTTTTAAACGTACATTGGTGCTTTGCCCGCATGTACGTATGTCTGTGTAAGGGTGTGGGAGACAATCTTGAGCAGACAATATGGTTGCTGGGACTTGAACCCAGGTCTTCTGTAAGAGCAGTCAGTGCTCTTAACTGCGGAGCCATCTCTCTAGCCCCGACCCAGTTTTTCTTCTGAATATTGCCATTCAGATGAATCTCACGCCACAGATTCAAACCCTGGTAACAAATAGGTAAATATATTGTTCATAAAGCCCAGAGGGAAATCGTAAGCTTTTGGAACCAGGATGGAGGGCCTTTTACTAGCTTTGCCTTGTGCCTGCTGGCTTCAACAAAGTGTGCATAGATTGGAACTCCCTCTAGGGGTAATCACACTCGAGAGTCCAGAGTTCCCTTCTGCAGAAGGGGGTCTGCAGGACCTGTTGGCTATTGAACACTGGTGCAGGATCTCCCAGGACAGAGACAGAAACAGTCCCAGCATGGATTATTCCAGGTGTTTTGGAGGGCGCTCTATCAGCCAAATCTATTCAACAGCTTCTTCTCCGGAGCATGGGCTAGCTCGCAGCTCTACAGGAGAAATAGAATTTGGTTTCAAACCAGGGGTTCGTGGTAGTGGTTTCAGCTTTTGAGTACAATTGTTTAATTGGTGGAGTAGAAAAAATAGGAGCTGACATCACCGATCCCAAGAGAAAATGTTTCATATCCCATGGTCTCCAATTATTTACACACAATTTACCGTCTCTGTGTGTGTGTGGGGGGG